ATCTACTTATCTGTATGACTTGAACTTGGGGGGGGGGTTGTATCTGAATAAACATATACACAATTGCAGTATAACTGATTTTGTAGGAATGAATGATGAACATTCCTAATGAATGGAAGGCATAGAAGTGCATTCAATATTAACTCTGACCCTTGCATGTGTATCAACTCTAAGCTGGGATTCAGACTATTGTTCAGATATCTGTTATATACTGAGATGTTTGGGTTAGGTTTAGGATTCTAAGACTCCAAACTCTGGGAATGGCCTCAATATGAAGCATAAGTAGTATATTTGGCAGGTAAGCAAATAAGGTTTTTTATGTATTTATCACATTTATATGTCCCCCTTTAAGGTGGCATAGATGGTTTTCCTTTTCCCACATCTTATTATCACAATGGGTGTAGGTTGTTAGAATGAAAAAGACAGAGACAATGGTAGCGCACAAGTTTAAGATTCTGCTGGATGTTATGGTCTTATGGCCATGTTGGGAGGAGACGTTAGATGGCCATGTATCTCACGACATTTCTCTTCTGCCACACCCCCAATTACCATTCCATGCTTTACAACTGCTCCTACATTCCTGATATGCTAGAAAACAAAACTGTTTGTCCCTGATTAAATTAAAATACTGAGTATGTATCGATCTGCATTTCAAACTCCCATAAATCATAGCACCATATGACTACAGGAATACCTGCTATTCACTGGGTGACCATTTAGGGGCCTTTGTTTATTTTATTCATTTTTCAATTTATATCCTGCCTTTTTCCTACAAAGGTCTCAAGGCAGCTTACATCATTCTCCTCCTCCATCTTATCCCCACAACAACCCTGTGAGGTAGGTTGGGCTGAGAGTCTGTGACTGGCCCAAAGTCACCCAGTTGGCTCCATGGCTGAGCAGGGACTCGAACCCAGATCTCCTGAGTCCCAGTCCCACACTCTTCACCACTACACCACACTGCAGAGACTTTGGCCTCCAAGGTTACCCAACTGAGTCTTATGGCCAAGTAGGGATTTTCTTATGGCCTACTGGATCTCTCTGGTCATAAGCCAGCATTCTAACAAACACTACACTAGTTTTCAGGACATCTTTGGAATACATAGGTTAGTGCTTCTACATGCCTCAGAGGGGTGCCTTTGAATCCTGGACCTAGTCTTTATCGCATTCTTGAAGCTATTTTTGCAGTTGCTTTTTCTTACAGCATGAAAGCACAGTCTTCTCCATTCCTATAATTAGATTATTTTAATTATCATAATTGTCAAGTTTTGCCCGTATATAAATCTTCTCTCAAGGCATGTATTTAAGTTGGGAGTCTAGTTCCCCATATATTTATCCCAAGATCCCAACAGGGAAGCAGGTCCTGTGAAACTAAATTTTGTCAGTATTTGATGAAAAAGTTATCTAAGAAGCTAACAAAAGCCTAAATCTTTAGGATTACCTTAACTGCTATGCGCTGTAAACCTACTTTTGAGTAAGGTCAAATAAGGTCAAGCAAGGATCATACACTTACAAACACACGTAAGTGCTTAGCATTAGACATGTCTGTCAATTGTTCAGCCTTAAAAACAATCACTGTTGGCATGTGCAAAATTGGGAGTTTCAACCCAGTCCCAAAGTTGTTTGCTCACAAGAAAGCTCTGTCAAATTCAATGGGACTTACTTGTTGATAAGTAAGTTTAGGGCATCAGCCTTCATTAAACAAGCTTAGAACTTAGAAAGTTAGTACACTTAGCACCACCTTCTATTATAGTAAATCTGTCACTTGCTAAGAAAGAATGTCAAAATATACAATGTGCACTTTTCAGACAATGGATTTTGTTTATATAATAAACCAATTTGAGAATGACAGTACTACAAGATGTAATGTACTGGTAGTGTACAATGCGGTATACTCTATTTGCATGTTATTATAATGTATTACTTAAGAATTAATAAGAGAACACATAGACTTTACTGCACAAGTTGGAAGGGACAGAGTTAACACAGAGTTGATACTGACTTATCATCTTAACACATTTCCTGCACTTTTCATGTTGAACTATGGAATGATTATGTTTGCTTAGAAGATGATAAAATACCATATATCCAAGAACTCTCTACCAAATAGAAATGGCATCAAACTACTTCTCGTCAAAGCATATACTTTATTCTAAAGATGCATGTAGACTTTAAGAACTTGTTTATTGTTATTTTTGATACCTATGTTAAACGTACACAAAGGGCCTAACTCACAGTCCATTTGCACTGCTACAAGCCACCTCCCCTTCTGTACTGAGCCAGACATACCAGAAAATGCTTAACATGTTTTAAAACTAAGCATCAAGGCTCAAGAAATAGGGCACCACATTTTAAACACTGGATTTTTCACACCCTGTTTTCCCAAAGGCCATTGCACCTTGTAGTTTAATAAAGGTTAACTTCCCTACAAACGCCTGTGACCAATGGATAATATAACTTAGAATCAAGGGGTGGGAATGTGTGGGGGTGTTTTAAAAAAACACCCAGTAAATCCAACTGTAGCTAGAAGCAGCCTGTATGCAAGCGAGATCCTTCCCAAGCGAGCTAAAATGGAGACAGAATTTCATCTCTGCCCTAGAGAAACAGACAGTGAGGGCAGCAGCACCAGGTCCAGGTCAAGGTCACTAGCAGGGCAGTCTGCAGCTGCTTGCATAGCTATCTTCAACCGCATACGCAACGCGCTTTCCAAACTCTCGATCCCGACTTCCAACAAACAGAGGCCAATTGAAAACAAAAAAACACCCTTGCAGACTGTTTATATTTAAAATTCTCATCCGCGCATATATTGATCACCACGTTATTCTAGTGCTTGGTACATTTTAATACAAACGGCTCCCCCCCCCGCAGTTTCATACACAGGAATATTTAAAAGAACCCCTACCAAAAGGAAAGGTTTCTGCCCCTGCCAACCCCTCCTTAAAAAACAGCAGTGATCTAAGGAGAGCAGAAGCAGTGGGGGCAAACGTAGCCCCTTGCGCGATCAGGAAACTCGCTTGTGCAAGCTTCCTGAACTCTGTTTTGAATATAGGAGCGCCTCTCTCTCTCCAAATCGAATATGAGGGCGATGCTGAGTGTGTGAGAGAGGCCTAGAAGTGCACAGGGAGGGTCATTTAGTAAGTCCTACTGCCTTGGGTTGAGCGGCAAAGAAAAAGGAGCAAGATGTATGTATGAGCCCTTAAGTGCCATTTTTGTCTCCACCTCTGCTTCGGTTCATGTGCGCCAGACTGATAAGTATGGGGTGAAGAGAGAAAAGAGGCAGAGAATGGATCAAAGGGCGGGAAGGAAATTGGGAGAGGGGTTCCTCTCAAGACCCTTTCCTTCTATAAAGTATCGAACCTTTCACATGGAGAGGGAAAGTAATCGATCGTACTCTTCTGTGTGTGCGTGTGTGTGGGTGGGGGGTGTAACTCTCATCACACACACACATCGCTCCCACAAGGCACACCCGCCACACAACCTTAGCCCTCCCTCCCTCTCCCTCCCCCTCCCTTATGAACTTCAGGTGACCGACCATGGCTTTGACACATAAGCAGTTCAGCCCGCCGACACTGAACCCTGGGGCACAGCCAGGGAGGGGCTGAGCGAGCATGCACGGAACATATGTGCCGGAGGCAGAGAAAGAAAATGACCCCTAAATCCACTACAGCCGCCGCCGCCGCCCCCTCGCCGCCTTCCTTCCTCCTTTCTTTAGAGATCGAGCACCGCGGGGGCCGGTGAAGGCTCTCCTCGGGAATATATATATATATATATATATATATATATATATATATATATATATAGAGAGAGAGAGAGAGAGAGAGAGAGAGAGAGAGAGAGAGAGAGAGAGAGAGAGAAGATAAATTCTCTTTCCCCCACGCTCCCCGTTTGCTTCCTCTTTAAAGAGCGCTGGTTCGCTTCTTCATACCGAGAAGGAAGCAGAGGGAAAAAGTTAACTGTCTCGCAAAGAATTGGGGAAAAGGGGGAGACAAATAGGAGGGGGATGGAAAAAGGGGGGACGGGGTGAATTGCTGTGTCAATGTGTAATGTGTGCACTGCCTGCAGGCGGAGGAAGAGGAGAGCAAGATGCACTTTTAGTTTCTCCCGAGCTCTACAGCTCTGGTTTGGGGCAGCGGCGCTGAAGAGCCTCAGACTCGCCCTGGCTTCATCTGACCCTTCATTTTATTGCAGCCAGGAGAAGCAGCAGCCCCGAGCTCGCCTGCCGCTTCCGCCGCCGCTGCCGCCGCCGCCGCCTCCCCCTCTGCTCTGCAGGGACCTCGCATGCCACGATCTCCCTCCTGCCGCCCCCCCCCCCCGCGCTTCGCGGCGACGGCGGCGGCGGCAAAGCGGCAGCCCCGGACTCTTGTGTCTCTCTGTGTGTGTGTGTGCTTTCGCCGCCGCCGCCGCCGCTCCCTACCTCGCCCTCCCCGCCGCTCTTCCCCTTCTCCTCCCCGGCTCTGGGGCCGACATGCCCAGCCGCAACCTTTAGCCGGAGACGGACCTCGCGATTGATTCCGCACAGGACGCCAGCAAACCGCTCTCCCTTCCAGTTGCAACTCCCCCACCCCAATAAAGAGAGCGAGAGAGAGAGGCTCAGCCTTAAAAGAGAGATCCATTCACACACATACAACAAATGCACAATCACAAGAAAGGGGAGGGGAGACAGAGGGCGAGAAGAGCGAAGAAAGAGAGGGGAGGGAGACACATACACATATACACCGTCTCTCTCTCGCTCGCTCACTCTCGAACACACACACACACAGAGGAGGGGGGAAATTAAAAGGGCACAAGGCTGTTCATCACCAACATGGCTGCCTCAGCTCAGACCTAAAAGAGGAATAACCCAGGCTGTGTCTTTGTCAGTTTCACCTCTGTAACCCTAAACTAATGCACAAAACAACGGAGGAGGCTGCGGAGGGGAAGGAGGCAGGCAGAGACGGGGGGGGGGGGGAAGGGGGGAAACAGGAGAGAGGGAGAGAAGGGGGGAGAAAAAAAGGAGCACTTACGTGAAGAGAGGCGCTTGGGTTGCTCCTGCTTCCTCCTGGGCATTTTCCCCCCTTTTCACATTCTCCTCCTTGGTTTAATGGGAGATCAAATTAAAAAAAAAAATAAAAAGCCAAAGGGGGCAGCGGAGGCAGGCACAAAGCGGGGGCAAAGGGTGGCTGCCCAGCAGAGGCTGGATTTCTTCTCCTGGGCAAATGGGGTGGGGGGGTCGAGAAGCTGCTTTTCCTGGAGCCAAGGAGAAGGGATTTTTTCCCCTCTCCCCTTTTTCTTGCCCTTCCTCCCCCACCTTTTCTGGCTTCCCCCCCGCCCGGTCGTGCACCTGGCTTGTCCCCGGTCGCAATATTCTTCAATGGAAATGGATCTAATGGGCGAGGGAGAGAGTGTGTGCTCATATGCGGTGTCAATAATGAGGGCTGGTGCGGCGGTGTCTATGGCTGCTCCGTGTGTGTCTCCAAGCCCCTAACTAACACTAATGCCGGGATCAAAGGGCAGCGGCGGCGGCGGCGGCGGCAGTGCTCACAGCTCACACACAGGCTGGAGAGGGAAAGGGAGAAGAAGGGGAGAGAGAGAGAAAGGAGACGAGGCACACACACGCGCGCACACACGCGCACACACACACGAGGCAGAGCAAAGAGGAAGGTGCCCCCGAGACTCCCAGGCTGTACTTTACACACCGAATTGCGAGCGCTCCTCGTAGGAAGGTGGGGGGGACAAAGCCGGCGCTGGGGCAGCCGCCACAGCACGCCAGCCCCATTTTACCTCGGGGAAACAAAGATTGAGGTGGAGGGTGGAGAGGAAGTTTGGAGTTCTCTGCGATATCCACATTCCTTCCAAAATAAAATAATGTGCATGCATGTTTGTAAAATGAAAGGTCAAATCGGTGTGATTTGATTTTTTCATTTAAAGGGAAAGATGATCCCAATAACGACCCTTAAAAATAACGGTGCAATATTTAAGAGTTTAAAGAGGGACGTTTTCTTTTGGTACTTCTTTTCTTCTGATGAAACTAGTGTGTACGTGTGTTAAAAAGATACAGTGGATAACTGACTTGAATTATGTTAAGTATAGTATCAAAATATGGAACTCTTTAGTGGAGCTAAAACCGAGGTGGTGGAGAATCAGTATGAAAATCATAACTCCTTGATGTACAGAACGGGAGGGGGAGAGGCAAGATTAGGTCACCCCTAATAGTTGGTTTTAACTGCTACATGATGCCCCTACAGGGCTCACAGTCACCCTGACTTCTGAATTTGTACTTTATTCCTGCATAAATGCAGGTAGGGGAAAGCTTTATCTGGAAGCATTTCCATTGCACATTATGAAGCCAGGATTGCAGTTGTCATTAACTGATACCTGCTTTCATTACTGCACAAAAGCATACATCCTTCTTCAAAGACAAACATGAAGGGAAGGGGGGACAAGAGAGAGTGAGATGGAAAAGGGACTACGGCTCACTAAAGCACAAAAGGTACTCCGAAAGAGAAGTGCTCTTTTTGTGTGTGACCAGCAGTCATTTGGATAAAGGTTCACTCTGAGGTTGTTCACGATTTAAACTCTAAAACCCGTTAGCACAATTGAAGTGAAATGATTTGAAGCTCAGTTGTTCACAGATCTCTTGCTTTGCGCAAGAAGAAAAAAACTTTGAACATAGTAGAAGACACAACATGAATTATGACTCAGACATGAAAAGAAATATTTTAATGTATTTTTCTGCTGTGTATAGCCCTTTTCTGTTTTCTTGCTTTTGGCAATCTTACTCATCATTTTACTTCTGTATATTTATTTTTGTTCACCATAAAACAGATTATTTTAGTTATTGAACAACTGTATAAAGAAAGAGCAATAAGGGTTCGGTTTATGGAATTAATTCTGTAAAGATACTGACATGTACATTTCTGAAGTCTATATCCAGGACTACTGACTAGATTTTTTCTATTGCATGTGTGCCTTGTACATAATATATATGCATATATGCATAATGTGTATGTTCACTGGGAAGCCCCAGCCAATCCTGCTTTTTCACTGGGTGAATATTATTTCCAAACATAACCCCACATATGCAAGTTTCTTGCTATTTATTCTTATGCAGAAATGCTGTCTTTGTAAGTAATTCATCCTTTGTGTGGAAGAGACAACATCAGTTAAATTAAGTATGAAGAGGAAAAAGTATAGGCACCCGTGTTCCTCATAATATATAAAAGCATTTCTAAAGCATAAATGATTGCACTATATAAAAAAGATTTGCACATCTGGGCAAAATCCACCCCCCCCCCCAAGAAAGCAGCAGGTGATAGAACAGTGGGAAACCGGCCACAGCATCAGCACCTAGGGATATTGGCACCCATCCGGACTGTAACATCTTTGCTGTAACATCTTTTTTCATTTCATTTGTTGTTTTAAACATTTTGTAGTTAGGGATGGGCAGTTGAGCATGTACATAGTTACAGATGCTTATTTTATTGTTTTTAAAATTTATTATCTTTGTCTATAGTATTTCCCAAGTAAATGGGCTTTACTATAGTCATGGGGGTGCCATGATACAAGTTTAAACAAAACTTGAATGGACAATTTGTTTTTTAAAAAATAACAGTTTGGCAAGCTGGTGTGTGATATGTCTTAACATATAAAGAATGTAGAGACAGTTGTAAAGTTGAATGGCAGCTGGTGGGAGAAGAATATTAATTGTAGGTATTCACAAAAGAGTACACATGGCTGTCTAAAGCCCCACCCCCTCCCTTGGTAAGACCATTAAGTCCAGGGTCTAAAATTACTTAGCTGCACCATTGTATATAGATACAAAAAGCTCAACTGGTGCTTCATACTCCAGTGTGACTAAAAACAAAGCATGTGATTAAGCAGACAAAGGATGGTTCAGTTCTCAAATGCTGGGTCACCGGGGGCACCTAATATCTCTAGTTCCCTAAATGGTCTCCCTATGTGTATACCCTTTACACTCTCCCATATAAGTTAATGATGCCATATAAGACGTGAATACTGCCCCTGGGACATTGTTGTGGAAAGGACAAAAGCAGCTCTGTCCCCTGTGACAGGAAAGGTAGGGCTGGCTCTCACTGCCCAGGATCCAGCAGGAAGGTGTTATGTGTCCTTGCACATTCTGTGTCCTGCCCCTCAGGTGTCCTTATAGTACTCAGCTGCACTACTCACATTGCATTATTTGCATAGACATAACTAGGGACCGCTAGTACAAATCCACCTCAGTATGTATCAACAACATACACTGTGTGTTCAGATGAAGATCTAAACAGCAAACATTTGTTGATTCAAAGTTGTTAAACAGTCACAGAATTTATCTTGCAGTGATTACAAATATATGTGTCCTGATCTTTACTTCTGTCCCTCCTTCTAAGCTACTATT